AAAGTAGATTAGCTGGCTCAAACTGGGTTCAGAAGGAGGGAAAACTGCAAGAGTAGACAGATAGAGGGAACACATTCAATCAACAAGCTGTCTGAGCCAAATGAGTTTAATAATGTCAGAAAGGCAATTCACCTTTAATAAAAGCTCGCAAGATGAATTCCGTGTACAGCACTCTTCGCAGAAAAGATGCGTGAAGAGTAAACGACAGCCATACGGCCTCTCTGGGGCAACCATCAGTGGAGCGGTTATGAAGAGCATTAGGCTGCGAGTCTTGTTGTCCGTATCTCCCTCAACATCTATAAATAATGTGGCTTTAGGCTCAAGCGTTCATAAACAGACACTGTCACTGGTGCTTGTGCCATAAAAGGTTAAAGTGAAGGGTTGCCCGCACACCGTAGACATTGAACGGTTTATCTGGCAAAAGATTTATCCAACATGAGAAGTTTATTTTGGAAATTTGTGAAGCTACTGTTGTCATATCTAATAATTTCTGTAAAATAATTACTGATGCATTATTAAAAACTGTAACAGATTTGCAAGCACTAAAGTGTTCAGAAAAGATGCCTTCAAATGGTGCTTTAGGGATTTAGCTTTGCAATTGCTTGGTTGAGAGCTCACAAAAGACAAATGGCAAAGCAGCAAAGACCTCGACAGTCAGACTTTTAACCCCTGGTATTGGTGCCACAAACACTTGATCCTAACGTTTGTATATAGCAACACTATAATGCCTTTCTGTTCGATGAATCCTCTCTGGTAAACTGAACACCTCCAGTTTGTAACGCATTCTTGCAGAGATCAGCCCTTTAAGCAAGCTCAAAAAATAACAGACAACAAAGCCAGCAAGCAGCTACAGTAATTAAGGCGGGAACAAAGGAAGAAGTCATATGAGGTTATAACAGAGAAACAAAGTCTGCGTAGGGAGGAGGTTGGGGTGGAAGGATGGATCAATCAAATCAGTAAACCATGGCTTGTTTCTCATTTCCAAGTCAATGTTGGTTTTGTTTTACCTTCACCTCAATTGAACCTTGGCACTGTAACTTTGGCATGAAGGTCCCTTAACCTTAATAATTTAACTCAAACTACAATCTTACCCTGAACCCATACAAGCCAACTCGGTGCCTAAATTTACGTCTAAGATAACCCTGATGACATCTCTTTGACATCATCAGGGTTGACAAAGCTCCTCCAGAGCCACAGAAGTCTTTACGGAACGGTTAACAGGATTCCTCATAAGCAGTAAACTGATACGTTAAATTCTCTTTAACATATCAGAGCAGACAGTGACGTGACAATCAAGAGCGAAAATCTGCTAACTTCTCAATTAGCCTGACAGCAGGGTTAGCGCAGAGCTCGTCACAAAACAGCTACTCATGAAGGCATTTCTCTCTATTCCGCTCATACTGGTGATGCAGCTCGAGCTCAAGTCTCAAACCTCCATGCTATAATTTTGCTCCACGTCTCTGCTCCTCCTCTATAAGACATCAATAATACATGACCAGTATATTTTCACCCTCCTTTGAGCCAATCAATCACTATGGCCGGCCAGTGCTCGGTCCCGACTCCTTTTTCCTGTCCATCCTCATGCACTCTCGCTGTACAATCAGGCTGGAGTCCAGTGGAATGCAGCACCATGTCAAAGACTAAGATGGGGTATGCAGCCAAAGCCAAGATCAAGACATGACATGTCTTCTTGGATTGCCAAATTGCTGATAATAGTTGGCGTAGTATGACCTGATCCTTGACTGGTCACCTAATTTTACATTGGCGCTCTGTGGCCCTAAAAGACCTCCTGTTGGGATGAATTAATATGGGCAAAGCAGATCATGTGATGGTCTATATGTGGCACCGCCTATGGTAGAAATGGCTGACGGGTCAAAGGTGAGGGGAAACACTGAAACTGATCCTTATGAATGTTGATGGGCATCTGCCAAGCTCAGGGGGCAACATTACACAAATTCACATTTCACACGAGTAAACGCAGAGTCAGAGACGACAGGGCCAACAGCAGATGAATCACATCAGCTAGGCATTCGACTGCAGCTGTCGATATTTCATTCAGGTCCATTATTAAGCAAATATTCTAATGATTCTCTGGTTCCTTTCTCTGTTTTATATTACCGTAACCTAATACTTTTCGTTTTTAAATACTGGTTTTAAATTGCTGTCCTCAAGAAACACAGAAGTACTGTTTCAACAAAATTCAAGTACAAATACAATGTGGTCTGAACTATGCTGATCCGCCACACTTCCTTGCAACCCAGACCTTCTGGCGTTTGTACAGACTTTAACAGATTTAGCCGTAGGTTTACTGCAGATGAAACAAAAGAGACCGGATTTAAAGGTGTCTAAGAGGTCTTGCTCTTGTGAAACTGAAGGGACCATTACAAGACAAGCAGCACTTAACATTTCAAAGGGTCCTCGCACCATTTGAACCGGAGTCTCTGCAAATGCAAGAACCTGCTGTGTTGTCCGAGCAACCGTTCAGGTTTATGAGGAACTCTTCATAGCTGTTTATTTTTTACAGAACTTTCCGAGAACACTTTTGAGTCTTTCAGCAAGTTTCTGCCTTCTTACTCCTATATATTTTAGACAACAAGGCTTTTAGATGAGTTTAGTAGATGGATGCGAATAAAGAAAAAAGAGAGGAGAAACTTAGTGCCAGATCTGAATTAGCATACAGCTGTTACACTTGCAGAAGAGAGCGTGTGAGAAATGTTTTATCCACCAGAGACCCTCAAGATACAGATGTTTACAATAATGTAACATGAACTGTTCAGCAGGGATGTTAAAGTCATCCAAGGCTGTTGTGTCAGGGAGAAATCTGTCCCTACGAGGATGCATCGTACATGCAGCTGTGACAGAAGGAGGAAGCGCTAAGAAGTCTGGTGGGACTTAAGTGGAGGTCCATGAACAGACGCTAGAGTGGAGAGCTACTTCACCCCTTCTCCATACACACTTCAACATACACCTGCGAAGAGAGGCTCTCCAGAAGCGATGCATCTGTTCCAGGGTCCCCCGTTACCATGCAGGACTAATTAAAGGATCAAGGGAAGTTAGCGCAGCACCCTACACAGCAGTGTGTGGCTCAATTTAATCACAATAGATCAACGCAGCCTTAATTGAGCTTCATTGCAGAATTAATTTTCCTCACGCATGGTACACTTCTCAGCCTGGTGAGCAACACACATGTGATTAATCAAAACAAGTGCACAGCTGAGAGTGATGCAGCGTCATGGGAATGATTGCACTCAAGGAGACATATGTGCGCCAGAGATATTTCATATTACAGATTTCTGAAAAGCCTCAGCGGTTCAGCCTCATGTATATTTGCAGCCCGTTTAGGATGGCAGCATAAAACGGGCCTCACTTCCAAGATCAGTCCAGCTCCGTCTATCTGAGGCCGTGGCATCTGAAACATGATCTGGACACCTCCAAGTGCCTGCCCTGCCTCCCTGACAGAGAAATAACAACAATGGCAGAGCTGCTATCCACTCCAACACCCGGTAATGTCAGGGAGAATGTCACCGGCAACCGCCACTGTAAAGGCCATCGTTCCTAATGAGAAACACGGCGGTTTGGAAGCGGTGCAGGACATGTCATCCTATGTGTGCCGCAAAGACATGCTTGCAGCCCCGTGGGAATGGAAAAGGAAGAAACAACTAGAGAGAAGTGAAACGGGGTTAAGGACAAAGTGAGACCAGCGTTAACCGGCCTGCTCTCACTAATGTACCGATGGTATATGATTAGAACGCATATGAGAGTCGTGGCCCTGCAGTGGGATTTCCCTCTGTTATAAACACATGATAGCTTTGGCAGGCAGACAGCTGTACTTGTCTAAACAACGACACGGAAAGCACGACCCGGTCCAAGGAGCTCCCACAGATACAGTAATGCTCTGTCCACTTTGTGCCAGGCGCATACACAGCTGGAAGACAGCTGCTGGAGCGCAACTATACCATCCTCCTGGCCTTCACTTTAAAAGAGACTGAAATATACTGACACACTTAAGAGAGGGTAAATATGCACGGGGTGAACTTTGACTTTTAATGAGATATTTAAACCAACAATTTGTGCAACGATTTGTGTTCAGGTATGAAAGAGGTTACATTTAAATCTGGGTACATGTTTAAAACAGTTTGATTTAAAGTGCTGATCAAACGAGTGACTTACTTTTCACATAGTAGTTTTAAGCTGCTGGTGCGTCACAGTGGAAACACCACCTCTACCAGTGAGCTCATACTTTTCCAGTGTTTACATGTTGAATACATAGAACATATAGCACATGGGTAAACCGCTGACTGAAAACTTTCTGAGGAGGGTGAGTTGCTTTAGTTTCACGTCTCTGTTTGACGCATGCGTTTATTGTTGTGATTTTTCTCCAAAGGCTTTAATAAATGAGTGTGAAAAGTCGTGCAACAAGCGTATGTTAGAGGTTTCATCAATTAACAAAAGTGATGGTTTTTATTAACATCCTTGCAAGTACATCACTCACACCTCTGCAGTTCAAAGTCATTAGTAAAGCATGTCATCGTAGAAAACAGAAACTTGCTGCGAAGTCATTTGTTTGAACAGATATGACAGTCAGCAGGCATCAAAAATGTTCACAAAAAAGGGCTTTGATTCTAAAAGTTGCCCCTGTGGATTTGGACGAATTCAATTTAATATACAAAGTCGTCCTGATGATTTAATGAGAGTCAGACAAGGGGAAATTGAACAGTGGGCCCCATGTTGGGATGATGTATGGCATATGATGGAGCTAATTGCCGCATAAGCAACTCTGCTCGGTTAATTGGAAAATTCATCAAAGAGCTGCTGGAATGTAGTCATCAAAAACACCCGATTGGTTGTAGGCTTTCTCATAGCATGTGGCTTCCTTCTGTAACTTTATGAGACTTTTTAAAAAGTTGCTACTAGAAAAGAAAATGCAAAAAAATAAAATAAAATACAGATGTGCTCCAACTGAACACAATCATAACAACAACAATAATAAGTGCACTTACATGAATGCATGGTAGATGAATGCCCATCCTCTTGGTCTTTCCAGCACGTTGTAGAGGAAATTTTGCAACTTTCTAAAGCGCTTGCTGGAGGCGGACGCGTTGGCCCGGGGTCCTGGAGGTCCTGGTAGCGGGGTGCCCAGCAGACCTGTGCGGTGAGACGGGTGTCCGCGCTCCGGGGTGGACGGCTCGCTCCTCTCCGTGTGGACGGCGGTGAGAGCCACAAACTCTACCCGCCTGTCGTCGTTCGGAGCCGGGGGCACCAGCATTCTGATGCCGCCGTTGTTAGACGGGCTTCCTAACATCGCGACGATTAAACTGCATGCGATTTGACGCGGTTCACTGGATCATCCACAGGAGCGCAGCGCAAAGTTTGGAGCGAGTCATAGTCCGGTTTGTCTTGACTTTAAAGCGGACTCTAACGCACGCGTGAGCCAGATATCATCCCTGCTTCTTTCTTTTATTTTTACGGTTTGACTTGCTAAGATTTAAAAAGTTATCTGTAAATCAAGTCGCAAAAGACGAGATGCACAGCAGTTGGAGAAGTGCGTCGCGCTGAAACGTGACCTTCAGCGATCATTGTTGGAGAGTCAGGTGTGAGGCGTGATCAAGTACTGACACATGCACAAACTGAGAGGAAACTGTGAAAGCAAGCCGCTAACTACCTGACATCACTCAATCAAGTCACTCATCTATTCCTATAAATACACTTGAGCCACATAAATCACTAATCGAGGCTCCAGAACGAGCGAGTGCAACGGCCATGCAGAGGATCGTCTAAACTAACTTCAGCCGCCACAGTTCTTTTAATGAAGTTCTTCTAGCTGTTTCTGTAGTTGTAATTGGCAGACTGAGCCTCGCCACAGCCGCCAACATCAGCTCGCTCTCCCCTCCTTGTGCGTGTCTCTGGTCCAGCGCTCCTCCGCTCCGGCAGCAGGCGGGGTGGAGCGCGCAGGAGTGAAGCGCATCAGTGTGATGACAAGAATCGCAAGCGAGCAACTCTTAAAAAACTCCGCAGAAAGCCCAAATAGACGCGCGCAGATGCCCGCATTTGGTTTCGCTTTTACAGAAGATGAAAAGCCTCTCTCCGGTGAGTTGACGCGCAGAAACAGAAACCCAGGAGGGAGGGAAGGATGAGTGTGTGAGATGCGCGCAGCGATCTGGAGAGAGAGACGGCACCAGTAGTTATGTTGTTTACGAAGGTTTCCGGGCACAATGAGTGATCTCTGGTGGAGCTGCTGAGTGTAAGAAGTGCTAACTTTGCACCTCAAAGCTGCAAAGTCATCCCGAGAGTAGTGTTGAAGTGTCAAAGTGATGTGTTTTATAATGGTCAAGGGTAGAAGTTGCAAAAGTTTCCTTTGCTTCTCCTTGAGATGAAAATGCCACTTGTGTTTACTGTGGAGGAGGCCCGAAACCATGGCTACAGGAGTTTGGGGACAGCAGAGACAGGTGTTTTGAGACATAGCGACACTGACAAACACAGCCTCCTCCTCAGTGGAGCTTTCTAAATCTATGACTGTGACACACAGACAGGCTTGTGGTTATGACACAAATATAGGGTTATGGAGCACAGCGCCCTGTAGGGAGATCACCTGTCAGAGGGCCTCTGAGGAATGCATTGTGAGGTGGTCCCCAAACTCCCACCGGCCCCACTGTATCATCTGACCACCGACATCACCAAATGCTGAGATAATTCACCGTGATGTGTTTTCGTTACACTAACAGCTCTGTTCTGCTCAAACAAGCACCGGGCCAAATGTAAACCTGGAGCTACTGCAAGTGAAATTCACGAGGAGAAACAGAAATGAGGTGTTTGGAGTTTGTTCTGAAGTTTTTCAAAACAAAGAAGACCCTATCTGCTCTTTTTCTCCAGGACCTCATCACTTACACGTCTGACATCTACTGCAGAGCGCTGTTAAATTTAAGTGAAATATATAATCGTTACTCTTGAATAAAATGTTTATTTCACTGCCTGCATCAAACTGAGAAGCTGACCTTAAACATGCATTCAGCATTGTGTGAGTTTTGCAGTGGACTATAACAATAGCAGAGTCGGGTTGCTCTTGCTATGTGCGTTCCTGTCAATTGTTGGTGCTTCGTTTATGGAACATGCAGGTCTGTGGAATGACGTGTGGGAATGCAGCTGGAGTCCTTCACAGGCCACAAATCTAGACATTATTCCCAGGGCCCTGTCCCATTACATAACTTAACATCACTAATCCTTAACTCTTTACTTAGCCTCAGCACTGACGGACTCACTGATGGCGATAAAACGAAATCAACCGTTGACAGCTGTGCTTTACGGCAACGTGTTAATGCAGACTGGTGACAAGTAATGTGACAGATCTGTCGGAAATCTTGGGCGGAACTTTCCAAATGGACCTTGTGTTTGAAAACCAATTGTTTTGGAAATAGCATTTAATACAAACAATATTAATTTCCACGTTATATTAATTTGTTAGAGATTTGCTCTTACTCAACTGAAAAACTGTTTAAAATAAGATCACCTTAATTGACCCCATGCAGGGAAAGTGAAGATTTACAAAAGAAACTGTCATAAATAGTGAAAAACAAACATATAAGCTGGAGTGATTGGATTTTTTTTTGCTTGATGCAATTAACCAATCACCAAAATAGCAAAGGATTATAATATTCAGTGGCAATAGCAACAATATAATTGATTTAAGTAATCATTCCAGCTTACGAAAACCTGTCCTGGCTGTTAAACAACTGATTTAAAAGGCATATTCAATAATTAAAAAGAATGACAGTTGTGTCAACTCAGTGAGGGTGTTGGATTTTAAATAGGAAAATGATTATCAGGATATCTTGCGGTCACACCAAAACTCAAATGAAATTATCTGAACCGAACACGACACCCTGACTGAGAGCTAGTTCTGTTTGTTTCATACAGTTTTAAAAATAGGAGCGAGGCAGGGTTACATTTTGAGTTAGGATCCAATGAGAAGTTGAGAACTGTTTTTGTTTCATTCATCTGAAACAATAAGGAAGCAAGTTTAGTAAAAGGTGGCAAAAATTCACCTGTCATGGTTGTAAAAGCATAGGTGTGTATATTTCTGCCTTCTACGAGAAGTATGGATGTAAATGGAAGAAGAATCTAATTTGGGAAGAAGGTTGTCTCACAGTCGAGTCCATAACCAACTCCTGATGAAAAAACAAGGTGCAAACTACACACCAGCACAACGGCATCCTATACTGGGAATCTCCCACTACAACACTCCCCCTGTTAGCCCGGTTTCCTCTCCTCCTCCTCCAGTTTCCTTTTTCTCTCCATCGCTCAGCAGCCCAAACCAGGCCAGGCGGCAACGAAAGAAGAAGGTGTTGACAGACAGACCAGCTCTGCTTGTACCCTGAGGGATTAAAAATCAAAGTTTCGCTGTGGCGAAGGTACACGCCCCCTCTTTCTATTACAGTGCCCCTGCTTCAGCGTCGCTTTCATCCAGCAATCAACACTTAGAGCCGGGCAGAGTGTCCTGAGCTGCTTCGGGGTTGAAGGCAGCTCTGTGACAACACACAACAGCTGAGCAAGGTCACGCTGTAAAATGTGGAACGGATGGTCGAAGGCACAAATGTACAAAAGCGGACCGTAAAGGAAGAGCCCTCACACTTGTACACACAGATTTAGTGGCTCTCATCAGCAACTCTTGCATGAGAGTGGAATTACAGCGGGGGATAACCCAGAGTGGACTACAGGGGCCCAGTGTTAGGAGGTGGCTGTTGTGCCCACCTCTCCCCTCTCTGCTGTTTTTTCCACCGCACTCTTCACTCCAAGCATTCACTCACGCCCTGTTGAGCTCCAGGAGTCGACAGCTACTCAGGGAATCTATGGGAACTTAAAAATACTCACATCAGCAATTGTGCTCTACACATAGTACAGTGCAAACCCGTTCCGTCCGACCCCCACCAACCTTTTATTTCCGCTGCGCACTTGGACGTTTACTTACGCCACTTAATGGCTTTCCCAGACCGCACGCTTGTTTGTCTTTATTTAATCTCTTTTCTCTTCTGCTTTTCATCTGTTTCCTTCTCTTTAACACAGATCTTTCTTAATGGAAAACCTCAGAGGAACGAGTAAAGAGGAGGACGGAGGGGGATGAATTGTTGATATAGTGTCTGTTGTGCAGGGTTAATGTTGTTGTGATAAGTCTGGTTATGGTCTTTGGGAGGAAGAAATGACATTGTCAAACAGTGCTGTGGTTGGAGCGAGAACCCCCGGTGAGATACACAATCCGACCATCACGTACACACTGCAAAAATGTCAGCTGACGTGAGGCAGTTTTCCCGTGCTAATCAATCTGACAATCTGCCATTCAACACCATGAATATGTAAAGTGTTAACCACAACATCCAGCGACTGAGTCAGGAAGTTACAGTACGTAGGGTAGAGACCTCACTCCGAAGCCCATTCATGAGCAGTCAAAAGCTCCTTTGTAGCTCACTACCACTCTCAGTGCTTTTACAGAAGTGCCTGGGCAGGCTCGCTGGCTCCTCAAACGAGTACGCAGCATTTTACAAACATTTAGAAGGGTGGAGGAGACTGCAGTGTAGACACTACCTCACTTCCGTCAGTCAAAAACAACCCTGAAGCATACGACTCTAAGCTATAAAAAGACAGACTAAACACATACAAGTACCAAGCAGTTTTTTTTAAATGTATTGAGATGTCTAGTTTCTAAACATAATGACTCTTTTTTGTCCATAACAGGTAAAGAGTCAAGGTCTAAAGGGTTAAAAGATCTGTGTATGGACATTAGTAGTAGAAATACATCTCGGGTTCGAATTTTTATATTAATTGTATTTATGTAGATCAATTTACATCCTAAATAATCTCAGGAGACGTCACATATTAAGGCAAAGACCTTATGATATTATATTATAGAGATAAACCCAACAAATTCCTTTGGTTTGTCATTTGTGCTCTGTATCTATCCAAAAGATGTTTGTGGACGAGCTGAAAGCAAAAAATAGACTTGGTCGCTACAGTTAAAAGTTTTCCTGGAGGTGGGTCATGAACATTTCTCAGCTGTCCTGAACTGACCTGAATGATTTGAGCAATGGTGTAATGAGAAATTTGACTGTTGGGGCCATTTTCCCTGCTCTATGTCAGCAGCTGTACTTCTTTTACAATATTATCTAAGAAAATGCTTGCATTTGAGAGCAGAGGATACTGTATATTTGGCAGTATGTTGTGCAAATAGCTTGGAAAGTTAGTGGTCAGTGCTAGTTAGTTCTCATAAACAAATGTTCAGACTATAAATTGTTGTGATGATTTTTCTTATTTTTAACACACAGAACGCTTCAGTTACAAAACCTGCAAGTCTTGTAAAGAGACATAAGCAATAAGAGAATTTCACTATTTCATGGATCATTGAACTGCCACATTATTCTTATACAACAGTGAAATGCCAGAACCTGGGAAAAGCTAACATTACACTTTGATGATGATTAAAAGAAAATGGTCTTACACTTCAAAAAAAAGCGCAAAGCTGATCAAACACAGAGTCCGTCGAAGTGAAAGGACACTCCTGTTATGAGTTTGTTGCAAACTTGGTGAGACCAGCTGCTGTTGTGGCCCTATCACAAGGTGCGGACCGCAGCCAAGGCAGTCAGCCCCAGTTCATTTGACCAAAGCTGCCTTGATCTGACCAGACGAGCCAGCCAAGAAAAATACCAGCAGACAATCCTTTTCACGCTTGACTTAAGCTCAAACATTCTCACAATCCTCGTCCCTCTCATTAGAAAGAGCCGAGCATAAGTCTGCACTCATTAATGCAGTTATTGTTCGGTGATTAAGTCGATTAAGAGAGGGCCCTCCGGTTTGAGTAATGTTTACTTGTGGCTTTGACTACCGCGGCTTAACCAGACAATTGTATAGTAAGTGGTCACTACGAGTGCAGGGAATTTAATTTTTTCTTTTTTAACACAGCTTGTTAGGAAAGCACTTCAAAGTGATTGCAACTTTCGAACTTTGACTTTCAACGCTGACATCATGTTGAACGTGAGACATCTCATTTCAGCAAACTAGGACATCGTGAGCACCCTTTATCTCTGCTTACCTAAT